TTTCTTTTTAATTCTTTGAAGGCTTTTAATTTTTTAAACGTTTTTACATTTTTAACAGCCTTTTTGCTTTTGGGGCGGGTTAGGTTTTGGGGTTTTTTATTTCGTTTTTGTTTACTAAGTTTTCCTTAATTATTGTTTTAACTTTTTAAGGGTTTTTTTTAAGGGTGTTTTTTTGGTTTTTTTTGTTTGTTTTTTTAAATTGGGCTGTTATTTCTGTGGCGATTTTTCATGTCTTCTGGACTTTTTGAACTTTTTGTAATTTTTTAATGGTTTTTGAGTTGGCCCGTGGGGAGGGAGGAGCCAAAATCCAGAATTAATTTCCTTCCTATTAAGAAAATCTTTGGAGTCCCTTCACTTTCTACTACAAGTACATTAATAAACCCCTTTGGAGTTGGTTTAATTTCTATTAATAAAATAAAAATAAAATAAAACCCCCTCCCGAGTCTATTCACTTTTTATTAAGGAAATTTTTAAAAAACCCTCAAGTCAGTTCCTTTCTATTACAAAAATAAACCAACAAATTTTGGCATCGCTTTCATTTGTGTTGAGAAAATTGAAAAAKAAACCAAAAAGTCACTTTCGAGTACAAAAATAAACCAAAACCCCCCGAGTCCCTTCAGTTTTTATTAAAAAAAAATTCAAATTAAAGCTCAAATTAAAGCTCAAAAATTAAAAAATAAGGTGGAGTCAGCTCAGTTTCTGTTGAGAAATTATAAAAAATTCAAAATCAGAGCCAATTGGCTCCATATTCATAAAATTTATTCAAAATTCAAGGGTTTAGATGTGATTTTCCTGCCTTTTCCGTGAAAACCCCAAGCTGGAGGCAGCACATGGGGTGTGAGAGCTCCTTGGGCTCAGGGAGCTGTGGGATTTGGGCTCTTCCARAGCCATCCCGACCTAAAGGAGAGGGAAATATCTGAGGAATGAGGGAAAAAATAAAAAAAAAAWGTGATTTTTAAAATATATTTGAGCGCTCAGCTGGGACCCAAGAGAGGGGTCTGGGATCCCTGCCTGTTCMTGACCCTTTGTGCCTGTTCCCAG